TGTGTGTGTGTGTGTGTGTGTGAGAGAGAGAGAGAGAGAGAGAGAGAGAGAGAGAGAGAGAGAGAGAGAGAGAGAGAGAGAGAGAGAGAGAAGAGAGAGAGGTAACAGCAGATGTGTGCTTTCTCAGAGTTGAGAGTGTTTCCTGGCTGCTGTTTGGTTTATTGAAAAACAGAAATTTTGTCAGAGGTGATCAGCGCCGTGCAGACACGAAGATTTCATTTCGTAGGCGAAGAGTTGGTCATGACAGCATCCAAGTTGATCAGACACAAAGTCCTGGACAGTGGATGGATGTGGTAGCGGCAAGTACGTGCGCGATCCACAGTGCTGTGGGAAGGCCATCACACACACAGACACACACCCCACAGTAGCCCCCTCACTGTGCTTTTTTTGGGGGAGGCCATCACACACACAGGCACACACCCCACAGTAGCCCCCTTACTGTGTTTTTTTTTTTCTGAGTTATTGCAGACTGTTGACAAAGAGGGGGGGGGGAGGGAGGGGGGGGGAGGCGTGAAGATGAATTTCATGGACTATCTTGCCTCCCTGCCAGCTAATCAGTTGGATGGGCTGTATGAGAGTCACTGGACGTGCCAAGCGGTCCTGAGGTCTCTCCCCCCTTTAGGAAAACTGTATGTCCTTCGGCTGCTGTACATCGACCAACCCATTTCCGGAAAAGTTGTGTCGGATTGGGCGAAGCCGGACGCTTTGAGCAAGCATGCCGTCGCGGTCGAAAGATTGCAGAAAATGCGAGTCCTTCTTGAAACGCGCGAAAAGGCCGGCAAAAAGGAGGTGGTGTCGTGTCAGTTGAATGCTGTGTTCCAGAGGAATCTGCGTCACGCGCTGAGCGTCGGGGCTTGTCCGTCGAGAGAGCCTGCGTCGGTGAAAGCCGGCGCGCGCATGCTCGCAGCCTCGGAACTCGACGAGTATGCGGACAGACAGTGGGACACGGTCCTTCTGGAGCTGGTAGGTTCTGGCGGAAGCTCGTATCCGATCGTGACGGAGACGTTCCAGCGCGCGGGTCTGATTTCGTCCAAGGAAAGCGGAGGCCAGATAACAGAGCTGGGATTCCAGTTTCTGCTGGCGGACAAGAGCACGCAGCTGTGGACGGTTCTTCGCGAGTATGTCGCGGCAGCCGAGGACCGGGGAATGGATACGCCGAATCTGATCCGTTTCCTCTTGGAGCTAGGATTTCTCGATGTCGGCCGACCTTATGGCACCGCCGATTTGACGTCCATGGAGTCCAAGATGGTGGAGGAGCTCGCCCTCCTCGGCCTGGTGAAGCTTCAGAAGGGAACGAGGGAGAGTTGGTTTATCACGACGCGGTCGGCATCGAGTTTATGTGCCGGCCTGTCGGCAGAGTCCAACTCCTTCCACACAATAGAAGGGTTCATTTTAGTGGAGACCAACTTCAGGGTGTACGCGTACACGTCGTCAAAGATGCACGTGGAAATCCTCAAGCTGTTTGTGAAGGTCGAGTACCAGCTGCCCAATCTTGTTGTGGGCGGGATTTCGAGGGAGAGCGTCAACCACGCGTTCGCATGCGGGATCACCGCCGACCAGATCGTGTCGTATATGCAGAAGCATGCACACCCGAAGATCGTGCACCGCATTCCGGTGCTTCCGGAGACGATTGCTGACCAGGTACGGCTGTGGGAACAAGACCGTAATCGTGTGAAAGCGACATCCGCGGTCTGCTACGAGAACCTACCAACCAAGGACCTGTACGACGCGGTGGTTCGGCATGTGCGGAGCCTTCGCGGGCTGTTATGGGAGCAGCCCGGGCAGCGGCGACTCGTTGTCCGGGCCGAGCTTCATGAGGAGGTGAGGAATTTCATGCGCAAGTACGCTAGTAGTAGAGGTCAGTAGTTCGTTCCTTCTTCTCCTCAAATTGTATGCTGCACCCATTCTACCACTCTCAAGGCTGCAATACTGCAAGGTGAGTAGAGGAGATGGGTTTGCAATTTTTTTTTGCACGTTTTAATTACGAAAAAACTTCTTCTGAGTGTCCTCCAAGAGACGCAATTCGGCATGCTGAGTGAAGATGTGTGGTGAGTCATTTAGGAACGAACCATGCGTTGTCACTTGAATCCCTCTCCTGTATGCGCGTGTGTTTGCACACAAGAGAGAGAGAGAGAGAGAGAGAGAGAGAGAGAGAGAGAGAGAGAGAGAGAGAGAGGCTGGCAGACAGACAGGCAGACAGACAGACAGAGGTAGACAGGAAGACAGACAGGTAGACAGACAGACAGCAGGAGACAGAGGTAGATAGATAGATCGATCGATAGATAGCTAGACAGAGATAGGCAGGGAAGATGGGAGAGTATCTTGGAATTCTGTTTCAAAAATTGGGTGTTTCCGAGCATCCAATTTGATGAGCTAACTGTGGAGAGAGAGGCTTCTGTGCAGTTGTCGCACAGAGAGAGAGAGAGAGAGAGAGAGAGAGAGAGAGAGAGAGAGAGAGAGAGAGAGAGAGAGAGAGAGATCCTATTGTGTGTGTGTGTGTGTGTGTGTGTGTGTGGCAATTTCGTCGGGGGGTGAGAGTAGAGTGGTAAGAGACTAAGAGTCTCTCTGTAAGGCCATTTCGTGACACGCCTATTGCAGAGAGGTCTTTGCAAGAGAGGTTTTAGTGCGGGCCATGGTCTGCACGGAGACAATTTTTTTGGCCGGAAATCGTGTCCATAGCTGAGGTGGGGCTTGTTGGCAAATTGAGTTGATTGAGCGAGGGGCTTGTTCGCAAATAATCTCGCAAATTGAGTTGATTTTTTATTGATCTAGGTGCGATCGTTCGTTGATTAAAAGTTCGTTGAAGATAGGCACGATCGATTTTGATTGTTCGTTGGCGGTTTGTTGACGGTTCGTTGAACATTCACATTAGTATGCATTATGCACTCTCCATCTGAAGTTGTTTGGTTTGAAGACTAAATTGAAATTTGAAAGTCAATTCTTCGTAATCGACAGTCGTTGATAAAAAAAAGTCTGTTGAACATAGGCACGATTCGTTGAACATTCGTTGAACATAGACATTATTATGCAGTCTCCATTTCAAGTTGTTTGGTCTGAAGACTGGAATTGAAAGTCGATTCTTTGCAATCGACGTTCTTATGAATCTATTTTTTTTTTTTTTTCTGAATAATTTGCCAATTTGGACCATTTCTCAATTTATGCGTGTCATCCTTGCTCAGATGCCATTGCTAATTTAAATTTAACCTTCTCTGTGTCGTTCCAATTTTGACGGATGTCCCCAAGGACACATTTTTATGAATGCATGTCGCATGCATGTGAGAAACTTTTGCTCATCCTTTTTTCTTTTTTCTTTTTATGAATATTGGCATTATATTGCAAATAAAATATTAAAATATTGATTCCGTTTTACTCTTCTGGGAAATGTATGGGACACTGGGCCCGGATCCCAGCAGGACCAGGTGCAGCTCCCCACCCCTGTCGACTGCTCAATTCTTTTTGGTTCTTTTCTTGTTTGAAAGGGAAAAAAAGGTGTGATCACAGTTCTAAATGTTGTCTTTACGCGTGTCTTTTTTGTATGTTAGGATTTTTTTTTTTTTTTTTTTTTTTTTTTCCATGCGCCTTAGTAGGCGCGTTCGAGGTCCACTAGGGTGTCGTATTTGGGGTGCACATGCATTTTTTTAATTTTTACCAGCATTTTCGTTGTTTTTTTTCAGTTATTTTTTGGATGGCAACTTGGGTGAAAAAAAAAAAAAAAACGTCGAATTTTTGAATATTCTGTGGGATAATTTTCGCACATCAATAAAGAGGGACGTAATTAAGGGGAAAAAAAAATTGCTTTGCGACTAGGCTACTTGGCTCGCCTGGCAGTGCAGCACGGCGGCGCAGCCGCCTGCGCTGCGGAGATTTTTTTCGGGGGGGGGGGGGACTAATCTGGGCTACCAGCTGTGATGCCCCGGTCACCTTGTTTGACTGGGCGGCCTGGCCATGCAGGGACCAGGGAAGGGTCCAGCACGGCGCCTTCCCCCCCCCCCTCTCTCCCCCCCAAAAAAAGTAAAATAAAAAAAACTATGCTATGCAGAAAAACAAACTAAACGTTTTTTGTGGCCCGCCCGGGGCAAGTTTTCCCGGGCCGCTCCGGTAGCCTAGCGACCTACTGGCATTTCTGAATCTGGACAGAAAGCTAACCCAAACCGGACTTCTGTCTTTACCCGAATAGATTGTCCGCTCTGCTGCCTCTCCCCTGTGAATCATTTTTGTGATCCATGATGAGACTTCTGTCTTCACCCGAGTATAGATTGTGCCGTCGTTGTGGCTGTATCTGGTTGTGGCTGTATCTGGACTGAAAGTTGACCCAAATACGGCTATAATGACCAGGCGTTCTATTCTAGTGAAGACGGACCGACGGTGGCTTGTTTCCAAGTTTTCTGTACATCTGTTCACACAACTTTACAGCTTTACATCTCCCCAACAAACCCGACCCTATTATGAGGCTACTTTCCCATAAGCTGCCTGAGACTGCAACCAGTTGGCTTGTTTCCATTATAGGCCGACTGAGACTGCAACCCGTGTGTGTCTGGCGTCTGAGCTATACAACAACCTGGGCTTTTGTATGGTGTTAAAAAAAAAAAAAAAAACAAAAAAAAAACTGGGTGAATTGTACACAACATGTGTTGACTGTTAATAAATGGAAGAAGATGAGTTTGAAATTTTGAATCCTCAGATGGAATCAGATGAAACACAAAGACGCTAAGGAGAAAAAGGAGGTTAATAGTGTGCCTCTGGCTGCTGCCTTGCCTTCAAGAGGAGGGGGCATCAAAGGGTGTTCAGAGGTGTAGAGAGCACTGGGCCTTTCCTTCAACAGGAGGGGCATGAAAGGTCTTCTTCGTACGCTGAGAATTCGCGTAAGTGGCACCTGCCACTTGGGCGCGGTCTGTTCTATGATGAAACCTCGAGGCCGTTGACCTTAATTTACAAAAAAAATGAAAAAAAAGTTTAAAAAACTTGAAAAAAGAAAATTGAAAACAAAAATGGGGAAAAGGACAAGACTGATAGGTACAGCATGTGATAGGTACACAGCAGTCGACAAAAAAAAAAAAAAAAAAAAAAAAAAGGTACAACGTTCGCATAAGTGAGACTCTCGGGCCCGGTGGATCCCGACCTCAACGCCGTTGCCCTTTATTTTTACAAGAAAAGAAA